TTTTTGAGACAGGGTCTCACTATGTAGTTGAGACTGACATGGAACTCATTGTGTAGCCCAGGCTGGTCTCGAACTCACAGCAACCCTCCTGCCTCAGCCTCCCAAGTGCTGGGATTACAGGCGTGCACCGCCACACCTGGCTCAATCAATAATAAACTTTTTGAAGTAGCAAAAATATCCCCAAAATGTATGCATTTATTTGACAAAAGACTGAACATCTAATATGGGCAAAAACTGTTCTGGGTATTCTTAGCACCAGTAAATAAAATCAAGATCACTGTCCTCAAGGAAAAAAAACACGGGTGTCCTCATGGAATTTTTTTTTTATTGTTACTTTTGTGAGGCAAGTATCCACAAACAGGCTGGGTGTGGTGGTCATGTTTGTAATCACAGCACATTGGGAAGCTGAAGCAGGAGATTCCCAAATTCAGGTCCTGCCTGGGCAATTTAGCAAGACTCCATCTCAGAATGTTTGTTTGTTTTTGGTACCAGGGACCAAACTCCCCGGTGGTTGTGCTCGCAAAGCAGGCCCAGAACCACTGAGTTAAATCCCCAGCCCCTTTCTTTTGTTTGTTTTGTTTTTAATGTTTTGAGACAGGATCTCACTATGTAGTTCAGGATGGCCTTGAACTCATGGCACTCCTGCCTCAGGCTCCCAAATACTAAGATTACAGGTACACGCCACACGCCCATCTCAAAATTTAATAAAGGGGAAGAGGTGTTGGGATATAGCTGAGTGCAGAGGCCATGGGCTCAGCCCTCAGTATTGCAAAGAAAACCCAAAAAGTTCAAACAAATGTCTTACTTTCTTGTTGCTGGGACACAATACCCAACATCCACAAGTTAGGTTTTTTTTTGAACGAGAGAGGCTCTCTCTATGTAGTTCAGGCTGGCCATGAACTATGTATCCCACACTGGCCTTGATCTCACTGTGACCCTCCTGCCTCAGCCTCCCAAGTGCTCAGATTATAGGCATGTGCCACTATGCCTGCCAGATTTTTGTTTGTGTGTTTGTTTTCTGATACGCACAAGTTAAAGGAGGAGAGGTTTACTTTGGCTCCCAGTTTGTAGAGGTGTCAGTCCATAGTCAGCCTGCTCCAAGTCAGGGTGGGAGGGCAGAGGAGAAAGGGTTCATGGCTGATGGACAGTAAGCAGAGAGCCCCTCAGGCAGGAGGGTTTTACACACATGTAGCCAGACTGCACCCCCAGTGGCCCACCTCTTCCCGCCTGGCTCCACTTCCCAGCATCATCACATACCTGTGATCCAGCCACCTCCCTAAGGCCCCACCTATGAGCGCATGAGGCTTGGGGGGCATCCAGACATAAACAGAAGGGAAGAGGGTGCCCAGGCTGAGGAAGAGCTGCTGTAGTTCTGAAAGCCACAGCTCTCATGTACCTTCCCATCCCTCTCTGACCTCATCTTTCTTCTTCATTCACTCTTTTCAGCCACTCAGACCTCAGTCCAGACCCTCACCGGCCAGTCACACGCCCACGTTAAACATTAGGACTCCTGCTCTTGCTGTCCCTTCACCACAACCCTCTTCTGTCAGATAACTGTAGTGTGTGTTGTTGGCATTTGAGACAGGGTCTCACTGTGTGGTCCAGGCTGGCCCAGAGTTCTCCAGCCCAGCATCCTCTTCCTTCTTTTTCTCCATAGAACTTTTTATCCCTGATGCAGCACTGTATCTTACTTTTCTATTTGTTGACTTTTATCCCATACAAATTAGGGCTCAAGTATACTTAAGTGTATCCCAAGCACAAATTTAAAACAAGAGCTGGATAAATTCACTAAGACTGCAATCTTAGAGAAGGATGAGCCTTGGGACTCATCAATTTTCAGAGGCCAGAGATGCGAAATGAGTAAAATAGGCTGACTGGAAGCAGGCGGTATAAAAGCTAACTAGCTGGTGGGGATGTGCTAGAGGGAGGCTTTCATTTTTATTAAGATGGCAGAAGTTACAATATGTTTACATGAGAGCAGACAGAGCCCTGCCCCTAAGCCAGCAGAGGAGTAAAGCCAGCAATGGTGTGCAGCTGTGCAGGAGGGAAGGCAGAGTGCGGTGCAGAAGCCGGGAGAAGGCAGCTGTGACTGTGCCCGGAGAGAGCCAGGATCACGCTATCCCTCAGAGCGAGGACAGCAGAAGGGCTGCGACTCCGAGGGGATGGAAGGTGTGAGACTGACCTAGAGAGTAGGGGTGACCAGCAGGAAGCACCAGAGGTTCATCTGAGGCCCACAGTCGGGACAAATAGGTGAGACTTTTCTGCTAGTGACCTTTAGCACAAATGTGCTAAGTACTTTCACTTTCAAGGCTCTGCTTCTTAAATTTGCTTCTCCCCCAAGTGTTTTTGGATTATTGATCAAGATTTTATTTCAATTCCTTTTTAAACCTATAAACACCCTCTTTCTTTGGGCCATAAAACCTTTAATGCGAATCATGTCCTTTTTTTCACGGACGTGACTTGAGCTTGTCTCACAGTGAACTAAATTCTTACTTACTCAACGGACTTCAGTGTCACTTGTGAGTAATGATGTTGCTTTCTGGTGTTTTTCAGCATACCTGATTGACAAAGTCAAAATCAGAGGCTATTATGCGTTCAAACTGACTGAAGAAAAAGCTAAACCCAGATTTGGATTCTTCACATCCGATTTCAAAGCCAAATCTTCAGTAAAGTTTTATAACAAACTGATCAGTGGCGGTGGCTTCCCTTCTGAGAACAGCAGTCCAGTGTGTGGTCAGATGAAGAGAGATACAGAGTGCACTGTCTGCTTGTTTCTCCTGCAGAAGAAGCCACTGATATTCTTCGGTTGCTGCTTACTCTCCACCCTGCTTTTGTTATTATCAATCACCATTTTTCACCAGAGAAAGAGAAAAAAATTTTGGAAAGCAAAGAACTTACAAAACATACCATTAAAGAAAGGCCACAAGAGAGTTCTTAGCTAAACAGATCTGATTTCTGTCACGATAGCTTAGAAAGTCACTCCATTCAACCCGCTGGGAACTTACAGAACACAGGTGCATATTGTAGAGAGAAGGCAGTTTGAGACTCGGTAGTAACCAGAGTGGTCACACTTGCTGCCTCCCAGCGAGGTTCAAATGAATTTTCCCTTAGGTACGGACATCAGTGAGTTCCGCTTCTGGAGCTGAATGAGGAGGCTTCACTCTGACTGGGCTGAGGATTCTCTGATCCACAGCTTCCAGAAGTGAGATGAGCTTCTTCTGTCATTCTTCTCTGGATTTCTTCTCCAAACACTAATAGTATTTATGGCAAAGGAATTATTTTTAAAAAGTGAAAATCTGTCCTGTTGGACTCCACAGCAGAGCTTTCTGTCACTTCTAACAAGGCGCCTTGAAGACGGGGTGGGTCCTCAAATGGAAAGCAAAAGCACACAGAGTGAGCAGTTACAATAGGGTAGCCAGTTACAGCACAGACTGAACACATTAATCTTAGTTTTTCTAAAAAAAAAAAAAATTTTTTTCCAAAACATCTTTGTTGTGAGCTTTCTCTTATAGATTTCTTATTTAAAAAAAAAAAAAATGTAACTCCCACAATTTATTTTGTGGAAAGAGCCCAGAACTGTGTGAAGACAGCTCATAGCACTGCTCTTTCACCTAACTGGCTTCATTCCTCCTCCCAATTCTTGTGATTTGGTGTACCTAGGAATTCTAAGAAGCTGTAAGTTTTACTGTCACCAGTAATAGTTACAGGGCTACACTATTAATCCACAAGAATTATTCTTTCCCTGAAAACTTCTGCCACTTTTCACATGAATACAGGTAGCTTAAGGTGCAAAATGCAACCACATCTGGATCCAGCAACTGTGACTCTGGAGAAATTCAGTATGTTGGTCTAAGTGAGTTAAAACTATTTTATAGTACACCTTTTTTTTTGTGTGTGTGGTACTGGGGATTGAACTTGGGACCTTGGGCTTGTAAGGGAAGCAGCAGAACCACTAAGCTAAATCCCCAGGCAGGACACCTTTCTACTAGAATGGTAAAAATGAACCTGAATAGTCTGTTTTAAATTGAGTCAGGCATGGTGGCGTGCCTGTAGTCCCAGCACTCAGGAGGCTAGGGCAGGAGGATCGCTGTAAGTTCTGGGCCAGCTTGGGCTACACAGTGAGTTCAAGGACAACCAGAACTACATAGTGAGATCCTGTCTCAACAAACAAAAACAACAAAATGAACTGTGTACTTTAGACCAGTTCACAGTAATTTTAAACACCAGAGACACAAAAACTTGCATGTACACCCATTTTATAACATTCTTTCTTCTGGAGGTCAACATTTAACCACACATTATACCCAGTAGCTAGTCACTGTCTGCCCACTGCAGGAATTTTGGACTCATTTCAAAGGAGCTAGGGATGGTGGCACATGCCTAAAATCCTAGTACTTGGAAGGCTGAGGCAGGCAGATCACTGCCAAATTCTAGAACAGTCTGGGATACACAGTGAATTCTAGGCCAGGCTGAGCTACACAGTGAGACCCCGTCTCAAAAAAAAAAAAAAAAGCCAAAGGAAATAGTTCCTCTCAAAACGCCTTATTAGGAAATGATCCCCAAATTAGTTTTAATTCTATTCAGAGCTATTATTATAAGACTAATTTAGTACATTAGGATTCTAATTGATAATAGACAACAGTTAAATTTCAGATAATTGATCAAGCCAATGAAAAGTGACAGAAAATAAACCTGCCATTTGGCCAAGTTCAAAGAGGAAATTTTGCTTCTCTAACACTCATTCCCCGGGACCTAGCAGTTTTAAAGTATGCTTTGCCAAAAACTGTTCTAAGAACTCAGTTCCTAACACTTTGCTTTACAACTGGTCCACTGTTTTATTGTGGTATGTAGAAAACATAAGCATGTAAAACAATCACTTGGCTGTTCCTTTTCCCTGTGCCACAAGGACTCACCCTGACTCAGCAGCTCCACTGAAATGTCAATTTAACTCATTATCAATTTATCAGCTATTTCGTAATCAACCCGACTGGGGTATTGGGGGGGGTACCAGGGTTTGAACTCAGGACCTTGCACTTGCAAGGCAGGTGCCCGCCAGAGTTAAATCCCCAGCCTCCCAATTTATTACCTTTTATAATAGCATGGTCTTGAGAAAAAAAAAATAAGGTGTTGTCAGCCAGAGACCTTGAATTTACTAACCTTTCAGGTTTTGCTTCCTATCTGTAAAAGCATCTTGTGCTCAGCTTCCGGGTCCGCTAACCTTTACTGTTTTTCAATTTGCTGCACTGGGGACTGAACACAGAGACGTGAACATGCTAGGCAAGTGCTCTACCACACTCATCTCCATGGTTTTTTTTTTTTTTTGGTATTGGGGATCAAACTTGGGACCTTGCACTTTGCAAGGCTGGCAGCAGAACCAGAGATAAACCCCAGCCCTCTCCATGTTTCTTAATGTGCCCGTCTGAGATAAGGAGGCCCAGGCCTGTAATCCCAGCTACTCAAGCAGATGACATAGCATCAAGTCCAAGGTCAGCCTAGGCAATTTAGCCAGATCCTGCCTCAAAAATGGTATGAGATGCAGCTAAACGATGGGGAGTCCTGTACCTAGGGAAAAATGAGTTTAAATCATACTCCTTTTCAAACATGTTGCCTTACCATCCATTACCCAAAAATCTTAAAGCATGGCACCACTGAGCTACATCCCCAGCCCACTTGACTAGTTTCTAAACCACAGTCTCATGTGAAAATCTTTAGGTAGGACAGTTAATCTGGCCCATGATTTATTATTAAATATTCAGGCTTATAAAAATTCAAAGTAAAACCGTCAAGGGCAAATCGGACATTGATAGTTCTTAGCAGAAACTACTAAAGGTTTTTTCAGACACTGGTTGCAGAAAAGTCACTTTGAAACCTAACTTGCATTACCTTTTATTTTCAATACAACCGCTGGTCTCTCACTAATCTTTGCCTTTATGTGAATGTCACAAATGTGTTCAGCCTCTTGAAAATGAGGCTAGTATATTGTATGTTAAATTTCAATGTTATTCCAAATAAACTGGTTTCTGCTGATTATTTACTAACAATTTGGTTGACATTAAGACTTCAGAACATGTATGAGTTCTGCCTTTGTACGGGCCTCAGCCCCTATGGTGCCCATAGGGTGCCCTTTGACTCCCAAGCAGTGTGCCAAGTGACTTCTGGGCACGTCCTCAAGTCAATACCTATGCTGAAAAGTTGGGGAAATAACGTTAAATGCTTCTCCACAGTAGACATGATCTTCCCTGGCAAAAGCTAGATTCACAACACCCAAGTTATACAGCAACAGCTCCTGAGCACAGCCTTCAGAAGTTACCAGTGATGTTCATTCCCAACATACCAGCCCATGCTCAGTGAAATCTTGAACTCCCACAGCAGACTACTCACACTAACATTCTCAATACAAACACCTCATCCTATTACAAAATGTCCATTTGTAAACTTTTCATCTTGAAATTGAACTTTCTGGAATACCTCTCCAGTCTCATCACTCACTGAATCTCTGGCGATCTAAGTGTCATCTGTTCAGAAGTTTGTGCCTAGATACTGGGATGTATCAAGTTACCAGTCCTTGTGGTTACATTCCAGCAGCATACATTGAGGCTCAACAAGAGAAACTTTTTTTTTGCAGTATCCAAGATGGAATTCAGGACCTCATGCTTGCAAGGGAGATGCCAAGCTAGAATTAAATGCCAAACCCTAAACCATGAACTTTTAAAATGCTATGCGTGGTTGCTGGGTGTGATGGCACACATCTGCAATCCCAGCACTGGGGGTGGGGCTGGGACCCTGAGGCAGGATTGCTACTAGTTGAGGCCAGCCTGCAAAGAAAAAAGCTATGGACAGAAATAAATGCAACAGGTTAAGATAGGAGGGTGAATGCTAATCTTTTTAGTACGGTGATCAAGGTAGTTTTCACTAACTGTACACTTAAAAAGAGTCAGCCACAATTCAGGACACCTCTTAAAGGAGACTTCTCAGAGGCCTTCTTACGGCAGTGTGCTGGGCATGGAGGAACTCAAAGGTCGGTTCAGCTCTATTAAGCAGTTTTAAGAACTGTAGGATAAGAGCACAGTGGTTATAATGTTTCAAAAAGAATATTCTGGCTAAAAGGCAAGGGAAGAGCAAAGGCAGCCAGTTAAAAGTTATACAGGGCTCTCAGCAGTGGAGTGCTTGCCTAGCATTTGCTAGGCCCCAATTCATTCCCCAGCACTACAAAGGAAAAGTTACCCATTTCACCCAGAACCTATATTTGAAGCCTGCCAAAACCCTACCTCTTATTTCAAAGCAAAATTTCTTAAAAACCCGTGTTTATTGGGTGTGGTGGCACATGCCTGTAATTCCAGCACTTAGGAGGCTGAGGCAGGAGGATTGCCATGAATTTGAAACCATCCTGAAATAGTGACCCTGTTGCAACCAAAAAATGAACCCATCAGCTTTGATATAACCAGTGTACCCATGTGTAAGGTGTGGATATGTAATACTGGACAGGCTGGGCAAACACCGTGTCAAGTTAAAGCACATGAAGTTTATGGCCGAGGTACAGCATGAGAGATCTTGAACTTAGCAACCACGTATTCATCATAACCTGAAGTTAACTGCCATTTCCAACCCATACTGAGGCTGTGACACTGTTCCACTTCTCAGCTTTTTCCCCTCACAAGTGACCAGGACACACCTGGCCTCACCTTATACTCAAGATTCCACCTTCAGGATTTCCCCAGAGTTCTATAGCCACACAGCTGTTTTGCCCATCATTGCTACAATATTCATCTTGCCTGAAAAATTCTTGCTATCCCTTCAGAAACCAGACTCAAGGCACTTGATTCCCACGAAGAAAAGCTAGAAAACTCTTGTTCTTTTCTTGAAAAAGCACACAAGATCATTCTTCAAGCTGTTTACTTGCCAAGTAGTTGGAAAGAATTAAGAACAAGTAACAATCAATAGAGATCTTTTATTGCCATCAGTAAAATATCACAAATGTATCTTCCAATCCAGAAGCTTGTTTCTGCAGCTGTGTAACTACAAAAAGAAATGCAGGCATCTGTAAATTTCCATCAATATCCTTGCCCAGCGAAGTTTTAAACTAAGATTAAAAATAAAGACTGTAACTTACTGGTTCATAATAAAATGTTAATTTTTGCAAAATTTACTGTGTTCCAGGAAGAATTTCTGTACACTATCACAATTCTAAGCCACATCTAAAGCAGCAATAAAACTAAGAAACCTACCTCTTGGATCTTACTCATCAGGCTGCTGAACTGTTCCTTTTTCAGAAACATAGATGCCGTCCAGAAATTTTCTGATATCTTTGTTTTTGACTGTGGTGGCTTGCTGAATCAAAGCAGCTATAAGACAAAACAGTCAACTACTTGAGTGTCATACTATACTTTTTAATCATCACTTTATTTTTTGTGGTACTGGGTATTGAACTCAGTACCTTGTGCTTGCAAGGCAGGCAGTGGAACCACTGAGCCAAATCCCTGGCCCTTTAATCATTACTTTAGAGTGTACTCCCACTCATAAGAAGTTAAATATATGCCCCATTTTGCTGGCAGCAACCTTATACATCAACACTACCTTATTTCCTGATTGTGAGGGGAGGTGGGTGGCCAAGGGACATGGCAAGTGCCTGACCTGTACCACCTAGGTTTGTATACAGCGTGATGTTCACAAGTTAACTGCCTAGAAGGCACAGTTTTCAGAATACATCCCCATCCTCAAGTGACACGTCTGTATTGTTATACACTATTATTTTGAACTCACTGGGATAGCTTTCCCAAAAATAATGAAGACTGAACCCACAGCCTTCACACGGTAAGAGACAGTCTCATGAATTCACTAAATTGCCCTGCCTGGGCTCCAAATCACCACTCTCCTTCCTCAGCCTCCCAGTGCTGAGATTATAGGCATGTACCATCATATCTAGCCTCAAGATATATTCAATCACAAGATTTACATATAATTTTGTAGGTATAGACACAGTAAATATACAAACCTGAATTTGAAACAAGCTCAATGTCATTTCCTTCAAGGATTAGTTCATCTTTCTGGGCTTGAGATACTGAGCAAGCAACACCTAAAAAGGGAAGAACATTTACAGTGTCAAATCAGATCTAAAACAAACTCCTTCAATTTCAGTGGTAATTTCATTCCATGCAACAAGCTAACCTTCTCTTGAAATTTTGGCTACAAAGGGCATGGCTTATCTGGCCAGAAACTTCGTGTTCTTTCAATGAATCAGTCCCAAAGTGGTCACAGACTCAGCAACTCAATTATGTGGAGAAGATAATTTAGTTCTATCAAGTCCTGTTCCTATGGTACATCTTTGGTACCACTCAGAATCTTTTTGTTTTTAACTTAGGGTTATCATGAAATGTTGCTGAGCACAGTAATTTTCTAATGCTTGTCTTCTATGTATCAGGCAAGCAATGTTTAAAGTACCTTCCAATTCAACTCATCACAAAATATTCCTTTTTACAGACCAGTAAAATAAATTAGAGAAGAGACTTGTAAAAGGAGAATAGTAAGTGCTAGACTTTGAACCTAAGAATCTCCTAGGCTCATAAGCATTATTCAAAAGCTTTGGGGGGATTTAATTTCTCCTTTTTGCAGCACTGGGGATTCAACCCAGGGCCTTTGTACTGAGCTATATCCCTAGGACTTTATAAAATTTTGTTAGGTATGCAGCCATAAAGAATGAGAAACTAGAAATATTTAGAACTAAATGGATGCACACTGAGGACATACTCAAGTGAAATAGCTTCTCTGGTGTGAAAAACTGTGCGAAATAGGAAGATAATGGCTAAAGGGGAAGGGGAGGGTAAAGGAAATAAGAGAAAAGAAAAAAATGTGAAAAAAGGAAACACAGTCTTTGTAAATGGTGGGGTGATGGTGAAGGGATGGCAGGGGTATGGGGAAAAAAAACAAGAACCAAGATATAGGGGCCGGGGAGTTAGCTCAGTGGTTCCGCTGTCTGCCCTATAAGCACAGAGACCCAAGTTCAATCTCCAGTACAAAAAGAAAGAAAGAAATATATCACATAAAGGTACAAGATCCCAATGATAAATATAAGTGTATTGTTTGCTTTAAATGTACCAATAAACTTAATGGAAAAAGAAAAATTTTGTTAGAGTGTTGCTAAGTTGCCCAGACTGAGCCTGAACTTGTAACCTGCATGCCTCAGCCTCCAGGGTGCTGAAAACTTTAATGTTTTCACCAAAGATATCAGTTATGTGAGAGGGACACTAGTTAGCTTAATCATTCTACAACTCCATACATAAAGCATCACACTGCACCCCACTAATACACATCATTATCACCTTTCAAAAACAGAACTTAAAGAAAGACCATCTTTTTTTTTTTTTTTTTGAGATATGGTCTTGCTATGCAGTTCAGGCTGGCCTCAAACTCAGGGGGATCCTCCTGCTTCAACCTCTCCAGTGCCGGGATTGCAAGGACTACAGGCGTGCACCACCATGCATGGCCCTGCAAAGATTCTCTTTTAAAAACAGCCAGGTCTGGGAGTGTAGCTCAATGGTAAAGCCCTTGTCTAGTGTGCACAAGGTTCAATCCCTAACACTTCCCCTTCCTAAAAAAGATACCGTACTTTGTAAGCTAATTCAATATGTAACCCTTCAGGAAACTATCACCAAGAGTTATGAATGCAACCAAGAGACAATGAATATGGTTTTAGCTATAGCTAACCCAAAACACTTAAGCTTTAAGACCTAAGGAAAAATTACATGTCCTATCTGAAGACATGCACCTACCTGCCCTCATACGAACCCGGCGGATGTATTTTTCACCCAAGAAATTCCGGATTTCGACGAGAGACCCATTCTCCTGAATAACGACGTTGATGGGGAAGTGAGCATACACAGACCTCATTTTGTAACGGAAGCCCTGTAAAATAAACAAGTTTTGAGCAATGTTGAGAAATTTCAAAGCCAGTTTCAAATTTCTTTAGGACGCTTATGTTACAATTTGAAACCTAACAGCTCTCACAGGGCACTTGTTATCAAGGTCAAGGCTCCCAAAGTCGACATTTTACTACCATACATCACAGGGACACTATCTCCTAATTGACAGACAGGTCCTTAAGGAAACATATCTTTACTACCCATATGTCGTAATAAACTATGCTAATTTCTCTTAATGTGAACCCAAGGTCCCCTATTTTGGGAAAAATTGAGAATATCAAGCCAAGTAAAATAGGGGCTTTTCCTTCTAGGAACTTGTCTGGAGACCAGAGTAGAAAGGTGAAAAATGAGCCATTAACTTTATAATAGAGGCCAAATAGAAGGTGCTATTATCAAGTACACTCTAGAAGGACTGAAGTTCTGATGAACAGTGATATCAATTTCAGAAAAACAGGCAGAGAGCCAAAAGATTCCATCTTTTCCCACCAACACAAGGCATCCAAATAGTGGGTGGCACACCAACTACTCAAAGTGTGTCCAGTGGCCTGCAGTTCTAACAGATTTTTATTAACCAAAATAAATATAAACGTAAAACTCTGAACTTTATTGGAAAACACATCATAGGCCTACTTTTTATCTTTTCTTACATCCATCACACAATCCTCAAGACAGGGATGCCTAGTCATCACCGGAGTTCACAAATCTCACCAAATGACACATCATCCATTTCCAACAGTAGACATTTACGTTGTGTACATAAACTATAACTGACAAACCTCTCCCAGAGGGGTAAAACATAGGCCCATCGACTGGCTTACCAACGTAACACCCTTGATCATGTTCTGTACGTGACTACAGATCGTTCGAACAGTAGCCAGTTCCTTTCTGTTTCCCCACCATTTGTCAACCCGGAGCTGTAACAGAATAAAATGTTGAGAGGTCTTTCCTTAAATAAATATGCTTCAAAGAGAACAGTTTGTTTATCCACTGAACACATCTTTAAAAAAAATCATCCCTAATTAAAGCACACAATTTTCATTTGGGAAAAGCCGATCCATCTAGGGTCTTCTACAGTCCACAAATATTAGTATGACGTAATGACAACCCCTGAAATATTAATTTTTTTGTATAGGTTGCAAAAAACTTCATTTCTGGAAAGCAGAAGTACCACCTGCTTCCTGTATGAGCATTGATGACTAAAGTAAATCTAATTGGTAACACCTGATACTCCTACTGCACTAAATCATTACCTTTTAAGTCTGCAATTCAAGAGGCCCCAAAACACTCACCCTCTTCTTTTTCTTTCCAAGGAGACTGAGTTCTACATTAATGTGGTTGAAATCCCTGCGCAGGGTTCCTCTGGGACCCTTCACAATAACTGTGCGTCCCTTCAGAGTGATGTCGACTAGAAGAAAGAATTTATGAAATCACCGAACAAGGATTAGAATACGCAAATAATTAAGTGGAAAACATCAAGCCTCATACCATTTTTTGGAATGTCGACAGTCTGATTGCTGAGAATGGTCTTCATTCTGAAACACAAACACACCTAGGATAAGAAGACCGGAACAGGGAAGTTTTCCACCAGGCTAGACTGCACGACAAGCAATCCAATGACGATCTAAGAGGACCGAGACCGAGAGCCTCCCGCGCTTCCTAGCGTAGAAGCAGAAGTCCCACATCGGGTGTCACGAAGCCCAGTGAGCTAACTCATGCTCTGTCCGACCGTACAAATCCCAGCAGGCGCGCCATACCGGTAAGGCTAGGGGAGAGAGGGGTAGGCCTAAAAGGCCAGAACTGGACTCAAATCTCCGCGCCGCTAGATCCATATGGAGCCCGGCGCGCTGGGAGACAATCAGGACAAAAACGCCGAGCGTTGGGGCCATGCAGCTGGCTTTCCCAGAGCCGATGGCTTCAGATTCCCAAACCCCACAAGAGTACAGAACCTATCTCACCTCGCAAGAGATGCGGCAAAGAGAGAGAGTCTTTCGTCATCACGTTCTTGTAGCCAGTAAAGAGCTTGCGTATTGCGTCATGAATACGCGACTCACTCAGGCTAAAGCAGCCAATCACAGAGCTCGATTATCTGTGGCGTGTTGTCATAAACTGAGCGACGAATTTTTCCAGCTGTCTTCTCTTGGAAATTAGTGATCCCATCATCCCTCGACCCTACTAGGCCTAAAGAGGGATGTCTCTACGCTGCGGGAACTCAGCCCGCACCCTGGTGCCCCGGGTGAGCGGCAGGGAGAGAAGGGTGTAAGCGTGGGTTGGGGGTTTTGTTTCCTTAAATGAAGGCAAAAGCTCCTTTAACGTTCACTTTTAGCCAGGCACTGTTCTAAGCGTTTTTCTTCTGTTATTTAACTGTAACATCCCCCTGAGGTAGTCTCTGGTATTTTTTTAAAAGGCTCTTTGGGCTGATGCCGAGAGTTTTGTTTTTGTTTTTAAGGTTTTGGTTTTCCCCTGCTTAGAGTAGGTTGTGCCCTGCATTTACTTTAGAGCACTACAGTAAGCACCCCAAATAACTGCTGTGTACTAGATACCACCTTGACCGCTGAGAGCATGAGCCGGACCTCAAAGCTAGAACTATAGACATTGATAAGTGCATTCGCCATTGTGCAGCGCCCTAACAGGCATGATTTTTGAGTGATCGAAGGTCCCTTTATGTTACATGTACTCACTCCTACATTTACAGTGTTTTGTCTATCTCGAGCATGCTGTGTTCACATCTAGAAGCCAAATGCCGTTACTTCTTATTCCGGACAAATGTATATTGAGAGCCTATCATGTTCAAACACAGAAACGTAATATAGAAAAATAAAAATGTTAGATTTGGTTTTCCTCCTTTCAGGTTTTTTTTTTCTTCCAGTTCTTGAGACGAATCTAGCATTGCCCCCCACTCTTTTTTGTTTTTGTACCGGGGATTGAACTCAGGTCCGTTGCGCTTGCAAGGCATTTGCCAGAACCACTGAGCTAAATCCCTATCCCATCTCTTTTAATACTTATACTTATCCACGCTAGAGAGATTTATTGTCAATTTCCTTTTAAACATCTTTGCCTCAAATCTGAAATAGAAAACATCTATTGGATCTTCCCCCACCCCCGTGATTGCAGTTTAAATTTGTTGAAAAACAAAATTGTACACCAGTTAAGCGACTCACCAGGTGTGGTGGCGCATGCCTGTGATCCCAGCACTTGGGCAGCTGAAACAGGAGAATTGCCACGAATTGGAGGCCAGCCTGGGCTACATAATGAGTTCAAAACCGGAATAAACCAATAGCGAGATCCTTCCTGCCCCGCCTCCAAGTATGATTTAAATTAATAGGTTCCGCAGGGTGTGGTGGCGCTCGCTTGTAAGCCCAGCACTGGGGAGGCTGGGGCAGGAGGATCGCTGTGAGTTTGAGACCAGCCTGGGCTACATAGTGAGTTCCAGGTCAGTCTCAACTACATAGTGAGACCCTGTCTCAAAAAAACAAAAACAACAACAACAAAAAAAATTAGATAGGTCCCCAAGTCTATTCCACAGTTCACTCCTGTTCTTTAAGTTTTGATTCCTTTATTTTATTTTAGTACTGGTGTCACGTATGTGCACCACCACACCCAGCTTTAACAATTATCTGAGTCAATGCTTTGTCTTTACCCCTTTAAGTATCATGAAGGTTAAAACTACATTATTCTAGGCCCTACTATATGAGTATCTAATGCATTCTTTTCTTTAGGGGTTTGGAAGATGTTTATACAGCCCACTGAGAGCATTAACTTCCTTGTCAGATAAAAAAAAGGAATTTTTACAGAATGGGCCAGACCTTCAAGATTTTGTATCAGGTGACCTTGCAGACAAGAGCAACTGGGATGAATATAAAGGAAATTTAAAACGCCAGAAAGGAGAAAGGTAATTGAAATTTTGAGACAGTTTTAATGTCCCATTCTTTCACTGAATTGTTTTTAAATAGAACCAAGCTGCAGAGTATATTTTTAATTTCAAACTTGTTAAACTTAGCTAAAAGTCATTAGGGATAACAGACTTATACAGAATGGGTAAGTAGAGGTTGCTGGAATGTTTTTTCCTGTGGCTTTTGGCAGGTTTTCTTCATTTTTCCTAAAATTTAATTATAAAACAGTACCATCTTCCCATTTTCCACCCAGCCTCTGATTCTTAAGAGACTGAAAGTTATCACCTTGCTATTGATCTATTAGACTGAGATGATTTTTTAATTATAAGTGGATACTATGATCTGACTTTGACAAATTTACATATGACGTGTTGATGCATTGTCTTAATTTAAAAGAATGGTGAAGATTTCATTCAGAGAGAAAATAGTTTTGAGGACTATTTATTATACAACTTCCAAATCACAGGTATGTGGAGTTGAGGGTGTAGTCTCCACTCCAAATTGTAGATTTTTTTTTCCATTTAATAAAACTATTAGCTGGGTGGTACACACCTGTAGTCTTAGCACTCAGGAGTCTGAGGCAGGAGTATTGCTGTAAGCTTGAGGCCACCTGGGCTACACATAGTGAGTTCAAGGCCGGCCTTAACTACATAGTGAGACCATAACCCCAAAACAAACAAAAAGCCAATAAAATCTACAATGTAGAGCAAATAGTACTTAGTTAGAATCTCTTTTTATTTTTTGGTACCAGGAATCGAATTCAGGACCTTCCACTTCCGAGGCAGGCAGGGCACCAATGAGCTAGATCCCCAGCCCAGTATCTCTTTTTAATCTGAATTAAAATGGGGATGGTGGCACATGCCTGTATCAGGTGACCTTGCACTCAGAAGGCTGAGCCAGAAGGATTGCCATGAGTTCAAGGCCAGCCTGAGCTATATAGTGAGACCCTGTCTCAAAAAAATAAACAAAAAAAAAAACCCAAAACCAAAACAAAGACCATCTGAGTTAATACAGTACTTTTGGTAGTATTTCTCATAGGGAGTGAAATGTTCACAGACTTCTTCATTCTTTTGTTAGAATGGTGCAACTTTGGGCCAGGGATGTAGCTCAATGGTGCCGCACCTGAGTTCAATCCCCAGTATGTGGGTGGGAGAGGGTGGGGGTATGCAACTTTCTGCCTTTGCAAAAGGTAGACATGAACACAATGCCCTGTTAGACTGCATTATCAGTGATCTCTAAAGTGTTCTAAGCAAGCATAAATTTAAGTCTTTGTTCCTCCTCTTATGGCAAGAATTAGGAATGAATCTAGGATTATGGAAAAAAATTTTAAGTAGAATTGGTGCTACAGTAAAATAATTTCAAAGCTGTGTGATTATTTGTCAGCCTGTTTGTTAAAGACAGTTATGTTTGGCTTTCTTAAGGTTGAGACTTCCTCCATGGCTAAAGACAGAAATTCCAATGGGGAAAAATTACAATAAACTAAAAAATACATTACGGAATTTAAATCTCCATACAGTAAGTTTTCACAGTGTTAAATGCCTATTGTTAATCTGAACTATATTTCTATGTATTTGTAATAAAATTAAAAAATATGCAAATAAGAGCAAGAAAAATAAGTAATGATGTTAAATGATGTATTATTTGCAGGAATAAAAACATTTAAGGCCTGAGGATGCAGTTCAGTGAGGCCCTGGGTTTGATCCCTAGCACTCCCTCCAAAAAATACATTTAAAATCATTTTTCCAAGCCAAGTTCAGTGGCTTGGAAAACAGGAGGTTAAAGAAAGAGGATTACAGGTTTGAGGTCAGATTGGGTGACTTTGCAAAACCCTGTCTCAAAACAAAAAAAATGAAAAGGGCCGGGGTGTAGCTCAGTGGTTGAGTGCTTGTGCCCATACACACACACACACACACACATACACACTATCTGCAAAAGAAACAAAGGTTATTATATTTCTTAACATCTCTAGATATGCATTGCAACTTGGGAAGCAAGGGTTTTTTGTTGGTTTGAGGTCTTTGTTGTTTTGTGGAGTTTTCAAACCTGATCTTGCTATGTAGCTCAGGCTGGCCTTGAACTCACTGTATAGCCTGCTTGACCTCAAACTCATGATCCTTCTGCCTCAGGCTCCTGAGAGTGTGTGCTTTTGGGGTTTTGTTTGTTTGTTTTGAGTTGGGGTCTGGCTATGTTGCACAGGCTGATCCCAAACTCCTGGACTACTTCAGCCTTACAAGTAGCTGAGATTACAGGCATGTACCACCATCCTACCAGGCTTGTTCATTTTATATTAGAAAATAAGTACATGTCTGTTGGAAAGAGTATGAAATATGTTCTGCTGAGCATGGTGGCACATGCCTATAATCCTAGCTGTTCTGGAGGCCGAGGCAGGAGGATTTCAAGTTCAAGGCCAACCTGGACAACTTAGGAAGACTCTGTCTCAAAGTAAATTTTTTATTTTTTTATTATATTTTTTGCTATTGAGGATCGAACTTGGGTCCTTGCGCTTGCAAGGCAGGTGCTGGAACCACTGGTCTAAATCCCCGGCCCTTAAAGTAAATTTTTTAAAAATGGCTGGGTTTGCAGCTCAGTAGTAAAGAGCATGTGTAGCTTACACGAGGCCCTGAGTCCCGTGTCTACTACAGGGAAAAAAAGTAAACAATGGGCATCTTAAAGTATCTAATAATTGTTCAATTGTTTGGTATTTTCAACCTACTTTTATTCTGATTCCTTTTATACACAGGTGTGTGAGGAAGCTCGATGTCCCAATATTGGAGAGTGTTGGGGAGGAGGTGAATATGCCACTGCCACAGCCACAATCATGGTAAAGCCAGCTGGGCCTTAAGCTTTGGTGTAGAAATGAGCATTTTGTGTCCTCCTAAAAATGGGCAGTGTGAACCTGTGGTCACATTTCTCATTACAAATGAGTTTATGCGAAGTATAAGGAGATAAAAGCTGACAGAATAACCTGTTGTGTGTCACCTTCTGCGAGTCAGTCTGTTACTGCTTCTTCTATCTGTCTCATAGTTAACTGTGTGCTGCCTTGAGATACCTCTTCTGTTCACTTTTGGAAATGTCCTTCCTGATAGTTTTTTGTTTTTCTATCTGCTGTATTTAACAAGGAG